TTACCTCGCAATACTTTTGCGTTACCTCATAATATTTTTGCATTACCTCGTAATACTTTTGCGTTACCTCGCAATACTTTTGCGTTACCTCGCAATACTTTTGCGTTACCTCGCAATACTTCTGCTTTACCTCGCAATACTTCTGCTTTACCTCGCAATAACTTTGCCTTACCTCGCAATACTTTTGTGTTACCTCGCAATACTTTTGCGTTACCTCGCAATACTTTTGCGTTACCTCGCAATACTTCTGCTTTACCTCGCAATACTTCTGCTTTACCTCGCAATAACTTTGCGTTACCTCGCAATACTTTTGTGTTACCTCGCAATACTTTTGTGTTACCTCGCAATACTTTTGCGTTACCTCGCAATATTGTTTTGTGTTCCCATGCAAAAGTTTGATTTGTATATGAACTGAATTAAATCAGACTTTTATTTTGAAATGTCCGGTTACCAAAACAGGAAGTGTCACCACAAGTTCGTGACGTTGACATTGATGTTGCGTGGCTGCACTGTGTTAAAATATCAACATATGACATACTTCCATGAGTGGTTGTGTGATATATTCATTCTGAAGCTGAATTAAAGCAGTAGGCTAACTCGCTAATGGTGAACATGTGAGTTTGTTAATAAACCATCAGGCACAACGGTGTTTAACGACTTTTACGAAGGAACGCAAAAAGAAAAAAATCCCCCATGTCCCCTCGTGGGCTCCGTACACATTTAGGTATTTTGGAATGGAACGCGGCCTTATTGCCGTTAATGGCTCATGACATCATCATCCTGAGACAATAGCCACAGCTAGCACCAATGCAGCTAAAGCTTCACTACAAGACATCAAACTTGCAGTTCTGGTGTCTGAGGTGCACTTCAAACTGCTGGACCACAGGGACCACCCATGTTGTTTTTATGAACACATTTTCTGAACACAGTACAGTCCATTTACCATTTTGAAATTAAATATTATCTTCAACAGTGTTAGCGGTGGCTAGCTGTGGCCGTTGCTGTCGCAGGATGATGACATCATGCTGGTTATCTGACCCAAACCTCCGCTAATGATGCTAACACTGCTAACGATAATATTTAAAATTTAAATTCAAAATGTGTTCATTAAAACAACATGTGAAATTCAACACTTAAGGTTTTTACATTTAGGTTTAGGATTTAAAATGTAAATATATTTTTAACATTTAAATTTAACATGTAGCAAAAAATAGCTAAATTTTAGAACAGTGAGCAAAATAATGAAAAATATGTTAGTGACATTTTTTAAACATTTAATTTTACACTTGGCGCCCCGTAGTCCTCTGTGCTAGAAAAAAAAACATGTCTGTAAAAAAAAGGGGTTGACCTTGAAGTACTAGTTTTCCCTGTGAACTTGTCAACCCGTGTTCCCCTTCAGCAAACTGATCTGAGTCTTTAAGAAGAGATGCTGCTCGTCACAAAGACAATGTTGCACAACAGACATTCCTCGTCACTCTCACTCCAACACGTCTTCCTTTTTAGTCTGGTAACATGTCATGTTAGCCACGTGTGTTTCTTTAAAGAACAACGTAAAATCAAACTCTGAGCAGCACAAGCTTTCAAGAAAAGTGCTGCGGTGAGCTTTTAGAAACTCACAAGGTGCTCACTGAAGTGAACCGGAAGCAGCCGGTAATGTAATATGTTGTTTCTCCTAAATGGTTTCAGAGTCAGCATCTCAAAAACCAACAAACATCTTGATTCAGAACATCAACATCGATGAAGCCATGTTTTTAATTTGGATATTTAACACTTCCA